CCCCCCCCTCTCCTCCAGTTCTTCCCTCGAACCGCCTCGCGCACCACAGGCTGGGCGTGCCCGGGAGATCCCGGGGATGGTCTTTCAAAAGTACCCTGCTAGAACCCTAGTGGAACAGGCCAAGGTTCAGAGCAAATGTAACCGTGTTGGTCAGCAATCTTCCTCTGTATAGGGGGTACGGTACACTGTAAATCCAGAGTGTCCAAGAAGCAGATAAGCCACTAAGTCACCTACCTAGTCCCCCAAAACTCCTCTCTTCTATCCTCCCTTTTACTTCCCCCTTTCCCCCCCGCCCCTTGTACTCCCTCTTTCCCGCCTTTTACTCCCCCTCACCCCCCTTTTATTTCCCCTCAACCCCCTTTTTCTCGCCATCACGGGTATGGAGCTGCATACCCGTGCAGGCGCGTATTAAGGGGGGGGGGGGCGATTGCCCCCCCTGTGGCCCCTAGATAACCGCCTGAAAGGTAGGCAATTTGAGCCACAAAACCCCTGAATGTAGGCAAGTTACGCTACACCACCCCCCCTGTCGGCCGCCCCTTACTACGCCCCTGTACCCGTGACACCCCTCTTGGCGCCACTGTGGAGGTCGACGACTTTGCCGCATTGCTCATTGCTCCTGGGCACTCGAATAGTTTTCCAAGCAAAGTGGGTAAACCGACCTGCAGAAACACATGCAGTGCAGAACACTCGGCAAAAACATCGGGTTTTCTAGTTCCAGTGTGCAGTAAGTGAGTTTCACAGACGAAAAATAATTTTCAACAAATGATAGAGCTCGGAAAGCGGGGTTTGTTGCAGTTACGCGGGGGGCGGGTGACTATTAACGCACCGCGGAGATGAGGAGGAGGTGGAGGAGGAGGAGGAGGCAGTCGAAAGAGTTCATGAATGAAAGATAGCCAAAATACCTCTGGGGGTAGGAGATCTTGTCTGGGGGAGAGATGAAGAGAGCGGTGTGGGGGAAAGGGGGTGGGGGGCACGACAGGGCGTGGCGGCCACCTCACTCCGGAAGAGGAATGTCCCACACCTTGGGACCGACAAAAAGTCGTTGGCGGTGGTGGCGGCGGCGCGGTGAGAGAAACTTAATCGATTTCAAAAGTGTCGTCCGTGGAGGGGAAAAAGTTTCTGCAGAGGTCTGCGTAAAGTTGTTGCAGTCCTCGCAAAACCACCGGAATAACTTTCATGTTCGAATGTGCGTGAAGTATGCATGGATGAATCCCATTCATAGCAGATGTGCTGCCAACTTTCCTCTCTCTCTCTCTCTCGGCCTTTCGAGAAACATTAACGCCCCGTACGTCAAAGCCCGTGGCAGGGTGGTGCGGGACGGGGCGGTATGGGGCGCGGCCACCACCGCGGTGAGGGGGGCAACCCCGTCGTGAGAGGTGAAGAGGGGAAGCGAGGGCAACCTAACCTCGCCTCACCTCACAGGGCACCGCAGCCTCCCGCCCCGCCCCGGCCGCGCTGTATGCCGAAACGGCTAAATAGATTCATGACCTGTTTTACCGCCAGCTCGAAAACAAACAGTCCCCCAGGCATCGGCGGCGCACAGCGCGGCGGGCAATACCGCGCCAAATGAGAAATAATACAATCACAATATACGCGGCGCTCGGCATTTCTCACGCCCACGCCCGCTTCCGCCGTGCCGCCCTCCTCTGGTTCCGCCCCTCGCGATTGTCAGGAGGCCAGGAGGCCTTTTGTCGCCCGGGAAACCCAATCCCCCCTTCGCCGCGCCGGCCCGGCCGCCAAGGGGCCGCCGCCGGCCTCCTCAATTCTTTCCCCCCCGTCACTTCACTTCCTCCACCGTCTCGGCTCATTGACGTCTAAATACGCAGTGACAGTCCCACCCCGTACCCGCGCGTCGCAGACCCCCGCCGTCTCTACCACCACCGAACGCCACCAGCCCACTTCCTCGCGCGCAAAATTTAAAACACAATCCCTCTCCTCCTGCCCTGCGGTGGCCCTGCGGAAGCCCTGCGGGTGGACCCCAGTCGCGATGGCCGCGGTGGGAGGAGCGCTCTGTGAGTACCCAGCGTGTGCGCCGGAGAAAGCCCGGCCGCGGCCCGCTGCACCACCTGCTTGTGATAATTGCGGTAGCGTTACACCTTACCCCGCCTGCCCCGCAGTGCCGCCGCAGCTGCCGCCGCCTCTGGTCGACTCGCCACCACCTGCAGCTCCACCGGCGTCGCCACCAGCTTCACACGTAATCGTATGCAAAACAAGCCGGAAAACTTTCCACCCCGACGATGAGGTCGCGTGAAGTATGTTGCCCTGCTGCGCGTGTAACGTACGGGAGGGCCGGCTCGGCTTGACTCCACGTATGGGCTGCTGTCCGTCGCGTCGGGGGCAGGTTCGACAAGGCAGGCGAGCGCTAATCCACCGTGGCCTCTGCCCGGGCGCGATAGTCTTTGTCCGCTCGGCCCCACCGCCCACCGTGCCCTGCCAGGCCCTGCCTGCCTTTGCCACGTCGAGCTTGATGGATCATCACGTGGGGTAGCAAAGCACAGCCTTGCAGTGCGCCCGGTCACCCGCTACACCGGCACTGTAAAGGCGCTGTAAATACTCTGCACGCGATCAAGTCTGTCCGCACGATGCTCTCACCGTGCAAGCGGACTTTCAACAGAAAAAGAAAGCTAGCTGACACCTGGTGTATATTAATGTTTATTGTAAGAAATCATCTGCTAAAAGACAAAGAACGAGTTACATTCCGTTAAAAATACAAGTACTTTAGTGCTCGTGAGCAAGCGTCAATGTTAACATTTTTGTTCTCATTTTTTCACGTAAGAATATTGGGAAGCGTGTGTTTCGTCAGTCAGTCCAACTGCAAAAGGGCAAACGGAGGTCGGGGCGCCATGTTTCTACCTTGTTGTTCTCGCCCCTAGCGGGCCACAGCATGAATAATTCCCACGGCGAGGACATCATCTTTTGTTTTCAAGGCGGAGCAGCAGCAGTCCATGGTGACAGTGTGTTTGGCGTCATGAAGCTCCCCTCCCGCTCGCCACTTGTGGGTCGCGGCGGCCGGCGGAGCCCCGCCCAAGTCACACAAAGGACGGCCGCCGCTAAACAGCTGATCATTTGCCATGTACTGTGCGTCCGGCTGGGAATAAATACGGATCATAAATCTGTTTGCCTGTTGAGGGCGCGAAGCAGTGTGGATCCACGGGCGGGCGTGTGGAGGGCTGGGAGGGGGGGGGGGCGTGGTGCTGCGCCGCGCCGGCGGCCGTGATGACGTGGTAAGAGTGATGATCTGATGTTTCACGCGTTACCATTTTTAATCTCACTTTGCAACTTTTTTTTTATTTTCCCCGCCCGACCCGACCCGGGGCCGGCGCGCGCGGCAGAGCATATTTGCCTCCAGCCCCGCGAGTCATCCTCGGCTGAGCGCGCCCGCTCCGCACCACGCCGCGCCACGGCCCGCCATGTAACAGAGAAGGGGGCGAGGACTCGGGCGAGGAGGTGACAGTGTCGTGGAAAGCGTGGCTGCAATTTTGTGAAACAAAAAAACACAACACGGGTCTCGCTCCGCGCGACATAACTTGAGAGAGCTCGCGGCAGCAGCACGGCCTGCTTGTAAGGGGATCTCGCTGCTCCACTCAACCGGGCGAGCGAGAGAGAGTTGGTTAGCGCGGCCTGGGCTAAACTGAGAGGGAAATGAAAAGACTCCGGTGCAAGAGATTATTGTTAACTTTTCGTGCAACTCTTCCTTCCTCCCTCCCGCCCCCCCCCCCTCCCCCCCCCTCTCTCTCTCTCTCTCTCTCGCTCTCTCTCTCTCTCGTTCACTTGTCCGTGTCGGGCGCTGGAACTAGGAGGAGCATCATCTCAGTTTTCGAGGAGTCGCTGGCGCTGGCTGCTACGGCCACTGGCTGGTGGCACTGGTCCTCTGGAGCTCTAGAAGTCCGCCAGCCACTCGCTTGTACTCAAGCTAATTATCCGAGTGTGAATGGGACCATGGCCATCCGAACAAGCAGTACAAGTTTTAAATTCCTGTAAATTCGTGTAGAGAGGTGGCAGTTTTCTGCTTTGTAGCCGCAACGACAACAGCCAGCCATTTACAGCCGTTGCTGCACGCAGTAGTACACGTGTTTGCAGAGTGCGCTCTCGGACAAAGCCCTGGGCGTGTTTGTGCTCGGGAGGACAGGGGCCCGCGCGCCAAAGGTCACCACCTCGCTGGGGCCGGGGCGTGGGCCGTGGGCCGGGGCGCGCGCGGCGGGGCGGCGGCGCGCAGCACCTGCCGCTGACGCTCGCTGACGCGGCCGTGTCTTGCGCCCCGCTCGTCCGACCCGTAACAGACAATAGGAAAGCGCAGGATTAATTTATCCCGGCGTCCGTTAATTAATCGCCAAACGTCACGGGCACGCGGCTGACGCGGCGCGCGGCAAAAAATATTAATGATGTCTGCGGACGAGAAGCAAAAGTCACCGCCGAGCCGCCCGACCAGCGGGCTGTTTGTTCCTCTGCGAACAATTTACTTCTGCCAAAGCTTTATGATACACTGTTTAAAAATTATGTGGGATTTCACGTAGGGATTATGAATTAAATTGGGCATGTCCGGCAAGTCTTTTGTTTATACTTTTCTAACTGTCGGATTATGCATGAAGATATGTGGGTGGCTCATGGGCATCTCCTTCAAGGATCTGTACAACTTAAAATTACTTCAAAAAACTAGAAAACGACCTTCCTCTGGGAATTTCCATAAAGGTCGTCGTTGTGAATCTTCGTAAAATACCAAGAAGTTTCTAACGAACGTCAAAAATACTGGATTTTTCGAATCACACTCCTATATACAGATGGTCTCGGTCAGACTGCCTTCCCGGATAGGTTTAAGTGTTTGAAATCTTTTATTTGAAATAGCTGAAATGATTAATGACATCGTGGTATAAGGAACAAGGCCTGTAATTGTAATTAATGTTGACCGTTTTTATTACAATTACAGACCACTTCGTTTTCATCATAGATCTTTGCGCAGTAAAAAGAATGTCTTATTTTCTGAGGGAAAAGGGGAAACTTTTATAAACTCCCCTGATTTCTCCAAAAAACATGTGGGATTTTTCCTCGGTTTTTAATATGATTTCTCAAAATCTGAGGCGAATTTGTAGGACTCTTCCTCAAACATAGGAGTTTCTCAAAGTTTTCCCTTCTCCCTCTAAAAATGAGACATCGCTTTTACCGTGTGAGAATTACAATACAATGTGCTTTTCTTTGTTGTTGCGAAGCTGTCCGACCTGGACCGGCGCTACCGCGTGCTACGACGCGTCCGCCGGCGGGAGACTCGCTGGCTCCAGGCTCTGGACGGCTCACCCGCCCCCGCCCGACCATCCACGGCACCCGCGGGGCCCCGCCCCCGCGAGCAGCCCCCACGCCCGGCGCCCTCGGAGCATCGCCGCAGGGTGGCGGCCCGGCTGCTGGAGTTGGCGCAGAGATGCCCCTGCGGCGGCGCGGGGGCGGCAAAACCCAGGTGGGGGGCGGTCATAAACGCGCGGGATGAAAAATTTACGAGGCAGTCGCTAATGGGGTAATCGACCCCAGGAGGAGGGCTGGGG